CCGCCCCCTCCGCTCGGGGTCGGCCCGGCCCACAGGGCGCCCGAACCTGGCCCAAGTCGGGCCTCCTGGGGACCCCAGCCGGGGCAGAGGGGCCCAGAAGCCCGGCGCGGCCACCCCCCCCACACACAGCAGCCTGGCTCTTCAGGTGGCCTCTAGTCACCGCACGGGCCCTCTGCCCCTGGCCACGCCCCTGGCCGCTGGCCCCGCCCCACTGCCCACCCCTCGCACAGGCCCCAGCGGAGCCCCAGTTATGGGGGTCCTTGTAACTTCTACTCCTTGCTGGGCGCCCCCCCGCCCCCCCCCCCGCAACGGCACCACAGCGTTCAGCGAGGGGAGGGAGGGAGGGGGGAAGGTGTGGTCAGAGTGCCAGGCCGCCGCGGCATCCCCTGCAGGCTGGGGCTGTCCAGAGACCGCGGGGCGCCTGGGGGGCCCGCAAGAGGGGCTCACCGCCATCCCCAGCTCCTTCTCCCTCCGCAGAGCAGCCACTTCAGGGAGCTGCCCCGAGCTACCACTGCCTGGGAGGCTGCGCTCCACGGCATGACATTTTATAAGGAGCTGCAGGCCGAGGATGGGCACTGGGCAGGCGACTACGGGGGCCCCCTCTTCCTCTTGCCGGGTAGGAAAAGGCCTAGGGGTGCCCCGCCCTGCCATGTTCAGGCCAGGGTGCAGTGGAGAAGCCCGTGAACTGGAGGGTGGGGGGCGCCTCCATGTGCCCTGGTCTGCAGCGGGTGCTGCCCCGAGGGCAGGTGGCCAGAGTAGCCAGTGCCCCCGGTGGGGGGTGGGTGGCCGGAGTGGCCGGCACCCTGGGCGGAGGGACTCCTCTGCCCCTCCGTGGCCATGGCACATGTCCAGCAGGTGACCAGGAGGGCCCGGGCCTCACCGGGCAGCGGGGTTGGGCTGGGCGTCCTGGGATGTCTCTGGAGGGTGGGGCGACAGTCCGTCTGGGTGCCCGCGCTGTCCGCGGTGACCCTGCGTGCAGGTCCGCGCCCTGGAGATGAGTTTCTCCCTTCACTTCTGGTCAGTGGCTGATTGCAGAGCGAGGGGTGTCGCGTCCCTGCTGGCTTTTCCTTAGAGGCCTCCTGTGGCCGAGCCAGTCCCCATGTTCCCCCAGACGTGGCCACCGCAGTGGTGAGGCCTGCCTGCTGGACCGGGGCTGCTGCTGGTCTCCAGCGCTGGGGCAGCCTGTCCTGACTGTTCGTCTGGCCACTGTACCTTGCTCTGTTCATTCCCAGTGACCTTAAGGCGGCCCCTCCGGCCTGCTGGGGACACTGGCCTCGACAGCAGCCTCTCTGCTGCAGGCCAGGGCCTGTGTCTGTCCGCCCCTGGGCCTGTGGCCCGAGTCCAGCCAGTCAAGGGGCCAGTCCACCTGGGCTCCCTGGAGGGTCACCATCCCATGGTCGGGCCTGGGACCCGGCGCTGACCCACGGTCTTGGGCCTGGGGCCCTTGTCCTGGTCCCCCCTCCCCCCCGCCAGTGGCCATCTCTGTGGTCACCCCGTTCTGAAAGGGCGCGGTGGTGGTGGGGCACGGCCTGCGGCCCGGCCTCCGGCCTCCGCCAGCGGCGTCCCCCCTACCCGCAGGCCTCGTCATCACGCAGCACATGACGGGCGTCCCGCTGCCCACCTGCTACAGGGAGGAGATGGTGCGATACCTGCGCTCGGTGCAGCTACCTGACGGCGGCTGGGGCCTGTGAGCGGGGCCGGCCGCGGACGGGGCGGGGCCAGGGAGCTGG